GAAAGGAGACTTTTGGTATTTACTCCACAGAATGCATTCCTCTCCATGCATCTGGCATCTTTCTTACATTTCATACACACATCACTAACTGAAGGCAAAACTCTACATGCCAAAAACTTTACAAAAATGGAAAAGATACCCAAGGTCATGCTTATCTTGAATAAGAGATCATGTGACACAGAATGGTGTTTGAAATGTAGGCAACTTGGTTACAGAATGCTATGGTAAATTTCCAGTTTACAAGTTAATTTCTACCTTTTTTGTTTTATTTCTATTTTCTGAGACAGGACCTCACTATGTAACCCAGGCTGGTCTTGAACTCATGGCAGTCCTGCTGCCTCTGCCTCTCAAGAGGTGGGATTACAAGCATCCAAACAACTTGTTCTCTGATTCAAATATTTGCTGATATTTTACTTATCTGAAAAGTCATGAAGTCCTTTTAAGACTAACTTAACCTTAGTGTCCATTATACTTCTTCTTCCCAATATAGGAATTATATATTAAATATTAATAGAGAATGTTATATATCAAAGTATAAAAAAATATTTTCATTTATCTACATACACAATTATATATTTTTTCTAATCACAAGCATAATGGCTTCCAAATGCAAACTTTGGAAACATTGAAATTTCCAAAAAGCAAAATCAGTCATAATTCTACCATTCAGAAATAAAAGGAGGGGTGGAAATGATATAAATGCAGTACTGATACATGAAATTCTTTAAAAAAAAGAATACAGTCCTTCGTCTTTGATAAATGTGAGTCTGCATGATAGGAAGGCAGGAGAGTGGGGTAAAGTCCCTGGGCCTATACAGTTACATGTGCATATTATATTTTGTGCTTTCTTTATACAGCTGGTAATATATCACATTAGCACACTAGTAAATTTTATTCCAAAGCATAATTTTAATATATATATAAACTTTCATTATTTAAATATATCATACTTTCTTTAACTCATTTGTTATTTTACAGGTATCCCTTAGGTTTTGAGTACTATGGCCAGATACAGTATGTTTTTAGAATGTTGATTTGCATATAAAATGGACAACAGGGTCTTCTAGGTATAATCTCAGTTCATATATTTGTGGACATTGTTCAAGGAATGGTAGAAAATAAGGCAAAACATTTTTTAAACCTGCAGATAATAGTCTATTCTTGTCACTAATTTCAGTATGTGTTTGCACTCTGTTTTGATTCTTTCACAGGACTGAAGAAATGCTATGGATTTTTCTGATTATACAATTTATCCATGGGAAAGAAAATGACCTATTTCACTTCAGGTTATGGATGTTACAATAAGTCCCCTTCTGAGAGTTGAATCAATTAAATACAAAATTGTGAGCCAAATACATTTGGCAATTTAATTTCTGTTTTAGGTGTTTCTTCATGCACATTAATTCTCTGTTCTACTGTATACGTTTGCAATCTCTTTCATAATTTTAGATACAATTGCTTGATTCTATTTTTTTCAGCACAGTGGCATCATATCACATTCCAAATATCCAGTCCTGTCAGTAAACAAACTGTATAAGCCATTAAAGAATTAATCTGGAATCATTAAAAATTTCAGAAAACTGGAATTAAGATATATAATTTAGCAGTTACAAATTATGGAGGTTATGTTTATTAAATGGATGTCTTTCATATATTCAAAATGACTAGCCAAGCTTTCATAATGCTGAAGGGTACTATGCATGCTATCAGAAAGAAAAAAAAATAATCATCAGGCTTACCTAGCTATGAATCTTGTGAACTATAACAATTGGCCTGGCAAGGTATGCCAACTTGTGCAATAGTGACATGAATATTATAGAAGTAACAAATCACTATTTCCTTGTATTTAAGGTTTGTTTTATAGAATGGAGACCATAATTGACATTGATATCAGTCCTAGGAACTTGAGGCTGGATAGGTCACAAGGCATAGGGGAGAGCCTAATATCAGTTTTTTACTAAAGCATTATACTATGAAACTTACTCCTAATGACTTATTGTTATACCCACAGATTAAAGCATCTCTCAACTTTCACCAGAGAAGTTTCCTTATGCAACAGATGGTGATTACCACAGAAACCCAAAACACACCCTGGCCAATGTGCAGAGAACAAGAGACTGAAAAGTGCTTATCCATGAATAGAACTCCTATACTAAACCTCACCCTTCCAGGGCTTAGAGACCATTGTGGAAGAAGGGGCAGAAAGATTGTAAGAGCCAGGAGTGGTAAATGACCATAAGGAAACAGACTCCTCCAGGCTTCTGGGAACTTGCTCATATAAACTCAGAGCAATGGTGACAGCATGCACAAGATCCATCAAGCTCAATCAGACAAAAACCAGCATAGAGCTGGGGAAATAAACAGGAGGGCCCAACCTTAGCTGATCACTGCTGAATGAGGAAGAATTGATCTCCTTAAAGGGAGTGACACTAGATAGGCTGAACAGGCTCCAGTGGATGAACTCACACTGAGGGACATCTGGTACACAAACTTGACTCGACAGGCCTTAACATATATGACAGGATGCATGAAATCCTGTGGGCAGAATACGGGGGGGGGTGAAGTAGCAGGAGGGGAGTCTAAATATGATTAAGATGTATGAAATGCACAAAATTCAATAAAAATATACATTGGAAAAATATGTGCCTGCATATGTGTGTGTGTGTGTGTGTGCATGCGTGAGTGTGTGCATGTCTCTGTGTGTGGGAGAGAATAGGCAAATGAGCCACTCATAGCATATAATGATCAACAATATCTTTAAACAAATAATGTAACATTCTAGAGGAAATACAGCCTTATAATAACCATTTGTTATTTTCAACCTCTAATTACTTCTTTAAAAAACCCTAAAAGACATAACATGCTTGTTTTTAAAAACGTTCAAACACGAGACCCCACCTTAACCTAGGCACTCACGAAACCGAAGGAGGGGAATTAAGATTCTGAGGTCAACCTGGGATACACAGTGAAATCCTGTCTTAAACAAGAGCAAATTTTAAAAAACTATATTTATAATTTAACATCCTTACCACTGACTTCGAAAAAGTATGTGTTATACTTTGTTAGTTGGTATAGATTATGAAGGTTGACACTATCTTTTGTGTGTGTGTTTGTATGTGTATGTATGTATGTATGCATGCAATATAGTTTTTTGTGTGTATGTATGTATGTTGATGTACGTGAATGCGTAGCTGTGGGTGTCATACACATCTGAGTATGTGCCTGTGGAGGACAGAGGTTGGTGTCAGGTATCTTTCTTGATTACTCTGTACTATATTTACTGAGAGACAGGGTCTCTCCCTGAACCAGAGCTTACCAATTGGATCTGACTAGTTGAGCTAGCCAGCTTGCTCTGGGGAACACCTATCTCCACCTCTGGAGTTACAGGTGAGCTACCACACTCATCTAGCTTGAGGACTGGTTCTCTGGAACTACAAACTACAGTCCTTATACTTGCCCCCATGGTATCTTATACATGGCATTTCAACGGTGAATCATCTCAAATGAATATACTTTGAATAATTACCCATGTTTGTATCATTACTGCAATATAAACATATTTGAATAATATATTTACACAAGAATTTTATACTTTTCTAATTCATGTTTTCAGGAACCTCCTATACCTGTGCAACACACAAAGTTAGGGGTGGAATGTCTGAAATGTTTGGAAGATTCCAATAGGAGGTATGAACTTCTATCCTTACAAAAGAAAATTCAAAGGCTCAGACACCTATGTAAGTAGAACTGTCAATATATGCAGGTTCACCCATGGAGAACATAAGATTCCCATATTCTGGCATTCTTGGTATCTGTATACTTCTTCCAGTTTCAAGGGATCCTTCCTGACCCAATAAACTGAATGCAGATTCAGTCTGCAGGAGAAAAATGCTCCAGCTGCTAACATGAGGACTGCCAAGCACCCTAATCACTGGACCAGTCGGTTCCACTTTCTACTTAAGCTTCTGCCCTGGGGATGGACCTAGGTGCTGGCATTCCCTGATTTGCACCCAAACAGACACAGAGAATGTCAGCAAACTAGAACCTTTCAAAGATATAGCATAATTTCAATAAGTTGTTTGAATATGAGTAGAATTTTGCTGCTATTAAGTAAATCAGTGAGACTTTCTTGTTCCATTTTTAGTAGTGAAAAAATGTAGAAATGGAAAGAGAATAAGAGTGAAAAGAGAACTTATACTGATTTTACTTTATTTTGGGATAAATCTGAACTATATAAATGGCAGAGACAGCAACAAGACAGAAATATTCCATTCTGTTAAACATTTAGTTTCTTTACATATCATATACATACATGCACATTGCCCACATACTAAAACTAAACAATAAGATCTTTGTAAGCAGAAAAATGTGCTTTATTCCATTTTAAGTAAATATTTATGAGGTTGATTTAAAACTATTTGAAAATGAAACATTTTGAAACTTAATGCCTGAGAATTAAAAAAGTAGACTTATTGTTAAAATATTTAACAATAGACTTCGCTCTTCAAGAAGCAGCTAATTACTTATCTGACATACGATTACTGGGTATATTGTATATGAATTTTACATCATATGAAAATAAAGCAAAGTAAGTATGAAATTTCACTAAGAAGATAATCAATATTTGTCAAAATTATATAAATCTTTAAGCTTAGATAAAAGTATAAAGTCAGCAAATCATTTTCTGTAAACATCTAGATAGTAAATATTTTAGGGTTGTAAGCCACATATGGTCTCTGTAATTACTAGTCAAATTTGTATCAGAACATATAAATAGTCATGGACACACGTAAGGATATTTGTGTGGCTTTGTTTCAACCAAACTTTATTAAAAGAGTCAGGTGGTATAAAGGCCAAAGCCTGAAGTAGATTATATTTTACTAGAGCTGGCAATAAGTGATGATAAAGGACGGTTTTATATTTTTATAGGATAAAAAATACTTGTGACATCTTCAAGATCCTTGTCTCTTTAAAATAATGAAGCTGCATATCAATCTTACCTGATTAGGTATCCTCAGTGGGGGCCTGGGACCTCCAGGGTACCGAGGTGACATAAAAGGCTATTGAAGGAAAACAAATAAACAAACAACAAAAAACAGGACAATGTAAAATACAGATCTAAAAATAAAATAATTAAAAAATTTAGAATTAATACAAAGAACAAATCAATTAATTCTTCTATGTGGATGCTTTCAGTAGACTAAAGCTATTATGAGAAAGTCTCATCCTACTTTTTATTTTGTAAAATATTTAGAAAATTTCCAAATAAAATGTAAAAACATCACAGATGACTATAGCAATAAAAATACAAATTATTAAAGTAATGATATCTAAATATCAAAGAAATAAGATTAAGAAATGGGCAGGTGAAGCCCAAGAAAGGCTTGAAGAGGCATCCTGGTGGTTATCTGATTACACATTAGGCACTGAATATAGATGAATAAATTATAAAATTTTATTATAAATTTCCTGTAACAATTTTAAAGTTATCAAATTTCACTTTTTCTATGGCTGCTGGTCTATGTAAGAGTGGAAAGAAATTTCTAAGTGTTTTTTATAATAAAAATACTTGGCTTTTTCTCATTGTGGACTTGTTATAATTCAAGATTGACTTAAAATTTAAGGTTAAAATTTCTTTCCATATTTTCATCCTAATATATTCTGAAGTATAAACATCTCAACAAAAGGAAAATATGGTCTTCTCTTTAAAGTCATGCTAATTTATGCTGTTGGATGAATAAGAGGTTCTCTCAAGTTCTGTTAAATATTTCAGTCTAGAAATTAAATGGATAAAAAGTATAATTTCAATGAGTTTGTGATGCTGTGTGTCCAATATCTGATTGCTCATACTTGAGTGCCAAATTTTATAAGGTCATTAAATTACTCAAAATTTCATTTTTTATTATACTGTTATAGAACTAGAAAATAATTATAATTTTGCTTAATTATATGCTAATATGCAATTGCTTTGACATTAAATTCTTTACATATAAAATAAGCAAGTAATTTTATGGGACTTAATATTAAGTCAAATATTAGGAATAATTTAATACAGATTAATAACTGACCAGATAGAAAGTAGACAAAAGCATTGTGTATCAAATTTATAGAATTGAATAGTACATTTATAATGTGTCTGCTATAAATAATTTTAGAAATTAGGCTTGAAGCAATAAAATCTTGAGAAATTCCTGCTGTACAGATTTGTTTCTACAGTATTTTTAGAGTCTGAAAAGACAACAGGTGAGCCCTCTAAGGAAGCAGTTCGCGCTTCTGTTCATGGTGCTCTTATACGTTACTGCGCTCCTTCAAAGGAGTTCACTGGATGGGGCAGAAGCAGTGGATTGTTCAAGTAATAGAGTTAGTTACCTAGCTCCTGCTGATAAAACTTAAGCAGACTTTCATTTTAACAAAGTTGATTTTAAAAGGTTTAGCTTTCACATATATGACCAGGCTGTCTCTCTTCCTCATTGACAAAGCTACTCTAAATTGGACTGGCAAGTAAACTATAGAGGTCCTGCTAGAAGTTTATTCCAATATCCACACTCTGTTATTTTCTCTTTCTTTTCTAAATCACTCAAGTTTATTTATGTAATTCTTTCAAATTCTGGATTCATATATAAAATTTAATAATAAATATTGTGATTTTGGTTTTGTAATGGTCGCCTTTCTTTACAAAGTGATGTTTCATTATACATTTTCATAAATTCAAAGTATACTATCAATTTACCAAAATATGGAGAAATACAGATAGCTTACTAATAGTTCATACTTAAGACAAAAATCATCTGGAAATAGAATACAAGGTCAAAATTATGTGAAAAGTATTACTAAACACCAAACTCTGAGATGATAAATATTAACAGCATTATTTGAAACATAGTTTAAGACTTCTATATTCATCCAATGTACAAAGTTGTTATAGTGTTAATTTAATGGAATACTTAATCTCCAATAGGCCAAATTATGAACTGCTGTATTTTAACGAGATTATCTGTACCTTCCCCCTGGACTTAGAGAAGCTAGTATGTGGTGGCGGGGATTGTAGGGGTCCCTATGTAATAACACTGGGAGAGACAGATTCTGTTTTTCAGTCAATTTATTTCCTTCAGTATGTTTTCCTCTAAGAAATTCAAATTTATGTTTTGGTAAAGGAAGGATGGGAGAGAAGGAAGGAAAGAGGACGGAAGTGAGGAAATCACTTACAAACGCTACATATATCAGCATAATTAAATCATAAATTACAAAATTTAGCAAACTTAGACTTTAAGAATATCTTTGTCTAACAAAAAAGAGAGATTGCTTTGGTGAAAGTATTCTTCAAAAATTTAGTGCTGGCATGAATTCTAAATGTTCAGATTGATCTTTACCATAGCTTAGCTAGATAGCTACTTAAGACTACAACTGTGTAACCAATTAGCTTATGTAACACAGCAGCTGATCCTGAAAGAGTCTTCATAGGAACAACTTTGAATATCCTGTACTATTTCTGTACTTTACCATGTAGAAGCCAATTTATGTCAAGATATGATTCAAATATTAAAATAAATTTAAATTATTTTATGCTAAAATACTAATCTAGCTCAGAGATTGCAAACTGATAATCTGAATATTGGAAGACATGTTGGTACTCTGTTAGTAACTTGGGACAAATAGGTTCTTCAAAGAATGCTTAGCTCTGAAAAATGAGCTTATTCTTTACATTTGGAGCAAAGTTTGTTTACTGTTTTGTTTTGGAAATGATTTAAACTGGACATCAAATTCCTGGAAAAAGCTATTTACAATTAATTGAAAAAACATCTGACTGTGAGTCAAGGGCTTGGATTCTAGCTTTTGTGCATCACTAATCAGTAGTGTGGACTTGAGATATATAAGCTTAGTTTTTTCACCTTAACATGAAGGAACTGGACCAGATGTTTTTAAAAAACCTTTATAAAACTATGCATTCAAGAATCTGGCATAAGACTGTTCAGTATTGTCTTTACATATAAAGTCAGTATATTATAGATAGCTTTAGATATTTGAAGTATGTACCAGTGAGGCAGGTGGGAAGAATAAAGACACATGCAGAATTCTAAGGAAAAAGCTATCTTTATCAAGGAGTTGGAGAAAATGATCATGGTTTCTAGAGAAAAATAAAAATATAGTTAAAGAATGATTCCAACAAACAATGGTCCCTTTTGTAGTGTTGTATGAAATGTCAATTGTGGAACCAAAAAGAGAAGCACTTACTAATTGGAAGATTTAATGAAAAAAAATTTGCTTATGTGAAACCTAACTTATTAAGTACTGACAGCAGCACAGGGTCTAGGTGGTTTAACATGGCCGTGAACAAAGCATATAAAGATCACTGCCCTCTCTTTGTGATTTCTTAAGGCTCATAATCTTATAATTAATATGACAAATAATTTTCTGGAAAATATGTTCTCTGTATCAGTTCACTAACTTGGAACAAATAGAATGTTCTCATCACCAAATGGCAAGTATCAATGAAAGCTGAAAGAAATAATATTTCAATCTGTGCCTTCCGTCAAAGTCACATTACATCATCCCTACTTGATAGAACATGTAGTGCTATGAGTGACTGAAAACTGAGATTGTGCTTTTGAAAGTTTCCAAATTAGGCCATACTTATGGGATAAAGTTCTTTATAACATATGATAATTTGGCTAACATAGTTAGTACTCTAACATGTGGAAGCTACATTTGTAGGTAAAAATCCTTTTTTCTACATGCTTCCATGACTAACTTATGCTTTGGATATCTGTGGCTCCACAAAGTTCGTATGCTGAAATTGTAATCCCAATGTGAGGCTGTTTAAAGATAGGTACTATGGAAGAAATTCACTTTGGAGAACAAAACGTTCATGAATGGGATTTGTTTCCTTATAAAAAGAGGCATAGAGAGATGATTGCTCTGTTGGCATCTTGTGAGCAATTGATCATCTATCAACCAGGAACTGAATTTGCTGGTTTCTTCTTCTTCTTTTTTTGTTTTTTAAGATGCAGTCTCAGATAGCCCAGACTAGCCTCAAACTTGGTATGAAGGAAAGGATTACCTTGATCTTATGACCCTCCTGCCTCTACCTTCTGAGGGCTGAGATTATAGGTGTGGGCCACCATGCCAGGCTTATTGGGTGATATGAATTGAACCCAGTTCATGTGTACGAAGCCAACATTCTATCAACTAAGTTATATTCCCAGCCCAGCTCCTTCATCTTGAACATTCTGGCCATGAGAACTCTGAGGAATAAATTTGTTGTTTAAATCACCTATACTATGGTATTTTTATTACAGCAGCCCAAACTGGCTAAGCCTAAAAGAAATGACCTAACTGAAAGTAGGAAGAATAAAAATACATACTATCAGAAAATCAACAACTATTTAATGACAGAAATGAAATAACAATACCTAACAGAAACATAAGAGAATAAAGTTATGCCATTTAGAAATAATTTATTTCAGAATGAATGTCCTTAAGTTTTAAAGGATCATTTTTTTCTATTATATCAAGAATTATTCATGAACTTTTACTTGTGCTTTTCTAAAAGAATTTTTTTCTTTATTCCTCATCCTTTCTCTGTTATACATTTATAATAAACATGATCTATATAATTTTTGCATGTCTTTTCATTATATTTTAAAAGAGGAAGTTTAACTTTTCAGAATTTAGTAAACCAACCGTTTTATGTAAAAGAAAAGCAAAGATCAAACTTCATAACTGACATTTTGGTTTTCCTGCCTACATGACTCTGATCCAGGAACAGCTTTACAGAATAATGACATGCCCACACTTTCTTATGGCCAACTAACCCTGAACAGACTACCTGACTTAGCATTTTCTCTCAGGTCTCCCAGCAACTGTACAACCATTCACTCTAACATAGAGTTCTTTACCCCTGCCACCACTCAAAGATGAAGAGCTGAAAGGCAGGCATATTTCCAACAAGCATGTTAATTTGCGTATAAACACTAATTAGTATGTGCTCTTAATTCCCCAAATGTCAAACTGAAATAAAACAATTTAAGAAGCTCTTTCCTCCTCTCTTAAGCATTTTTGA